CACGACACGACACGACACGACACGACACGACACGACACGACACGAGTATCCCCTGGTCGCTGCTGGGGTTAGAGTGTTTTCCTGGTAGGGATTGAACGTTGTTTGGCTGGATGGCTTAGCTTTTTATGTTATAGCCAGGGGTTCTGTGTTTTTGTGTTTGTTGTTTTAACCAGAGGACTGGGTGAGGCTATTAGGGGTTGGAGGAGGCCTTATAGGAGCTCCATGGGAGCATGGGGACCTAGGCACTGGAGAGGGCACAGCATTTGGGGTGCATTGACACCAGTCCCAGAGCAAGGTGGGCAGTGAGGAGGTAGTGTGAGGCCCCAGAGTGAGGGGGCAGAAGAGGGGGCCAAGTCATAACAGGGCCCAGGTCAAACACCGTCAGTACCATCTGCAAGACTTGGGCTGCGGTGTACGGGAGGAAAAGGAGCCACAGATAGCGCCCCTGGCACCGGGAGTGCATAAAGTGGGGCAGCCTCCTGCTAATTACATCAACCAATTAATCAATTAAGGTCAAGGCATGGCAGGCAAGTAAGCAGGTGGTTGGCCCATAACAGGAGGGCGGAGTCAGCACTAGAAAAGCTCCAGTAGCGATACTCCTGTCACACATCTATTTGTTACACCCACCAGAAAGCAGGACACTTTCACCAGGTTCAGGTTTGGTGTCACCAGTAGGGATTTGGCTTCTTGGACCACAGGATCTTGTTCCAAAAGAAGGATTGCTAAGAAGAGACGGGATCCACCTGATGAAGAGGGGGAAGAACAGCTTCACAGAGGTTTACTAACCTTGAGGAGGGCTTTAAAATGGGTTCACCGGGGGATGGAGAACAAAGTCCTGAGGTCAGTGGGGAAATGGGTAAAATGGAGGAAGCACAAGCAGGAGGGGGCAAAAGGGAAGGCATTCTCAGTCTTACTGAGAAAGTAGAGCAACCGGCTAGTTACCTCAGATGTCTGTACACAAACCCATGGAGCTTGGGAAACAAACAGAAAGAAATGGAAGTCCTTGCACAGTCAAGGAACTATGATGTGATTGGAATAGCAGTAATGTGTGTGTTGGGATAATTCGCATGACTGGAGCACTGTCATGGATGGGTATAAACTTCAGGAAGGACAGGCAGGGGAGAAAAGGAGGAGTTTTTCTTTATGTAAAAGAGCTGTATGATTGCTCAGAGCTTCAGTATGAAACTAGAGATAGGCCTGTTCAGAGTCTCTGGGCTAGGGTCAGAGGGGAGAGCAACAAGTGTGATAAGGAGGTGGATGTGTGCTATAGACTACCAGAACAGGAGGATGAGGTGTGTGAGGCTTGATTCAAGCGGCTAACAGAACTTTAGAAGTAAGGACCCTGGACTTCAGAAAAGCAGACACTGACTCACTCAGGGAAATGGTGGGCAGGATCCCCGGGAGGCCAATCTGATGGGGAAAGGTGTGCAGGAGAGCGAGTTGTACTTTAAAGAAACCGTACTGAGGACACAGGAACAAACCATCCCAACACACAGGAAGACTAGCAAGTATGGCAGAAGACAAGCTTGGTTTATCAGAGAACTCTTCAATGAGCAAAAACACAAAGAAGTGTACAGGAAGTGGAAACTGGAGAAACATCTAGGGAGGAGTATAAAAGTATTGCTCAGGCATGCGGGGATGAAATCAGGAAGGCCTAGCACAACTGCAGTTGCAGACGGCAAGGGATGTGAAGGGTAACAAGAAAGGTTTCTACGAGTGTCAGCAACAGGAGGAGGATCAGGGAAAGTATGACACCCTTACTGATTTGGGGGTGGCAGCTTTGTGACATGATGTGGAAAAGGGTGAAATACTCAATGCTTTTTTTCACCTCAGTCTTCACAAACAAGGTCAGCTCCCAGACTACTGCACCAGGCAGCATGGGTGACTGGTGTCTCTTGAGTTGGGGGGCACATGACCCCCTGACACCGGTCACCAACTGGGGGGGGGGGCAGCAGCCAGTTGTGCTGACCGGGGGATCCCTCCACAGCCAGTCTCACCAAAAAGTGGCTGCACTATTTCCAAAAATCCCGTGGCCACTTTTATTGGTGGCCTTGCTCCCTGGCCAGCGCTTGCAGGGGGAACAGTGGTGCTCCTGCCTGTCCTGCTATCCATTGCCTAAATGGGAAGCATGACCTGCAGGAAGTGCATCAGCACTCTCAGGGGGTGCATCCCCTATGCATCGCCACTGCCAGGCAGCACAGTTTGTGGAAGAGGTAAGCAGCCAACAGTGGTGAAAGAACAGGTTAGGGTCTATTTAGAAAAGCTGGATGTAGAAAAGTCTCTTGGGCCAGATTTGATGCAACTGAGGGTGTGAGGGAGTTGGCTGATGTGATTGCAGAGCCACTGCCCAGTATCTTTGAAAACTTGTGGCAATTGGGAGAGGTTCTGAACGGTTGGAAAATGGCAAATATAGCGCTCATCTTTAAGGAAGGGAAGAAGGAGGATCCAAGGAACTACTGACTGGTCAGCCTCACCTCAGTCCCTGGAAATCTCATGGAGCACGTCCTCAAGGAATTCATTTCTAAGCACTTGGAGAAAATGGTGATTAGGAGCAGTTGGTATGGATTCACCAAGGGCAAGTCATGCCTGATCAACCTGATTCCCTTCTGTAATGAGATGACTGGCTTTGTGAAGGTGGGGAGAGCAGTGGACACGATGTACCTTGATTTTAGCAAGACTTGATACAGTCTCCCACAACATTGTCTCAAGCAAGCTAAAGAAATATGGGTTGGTTGGATGAATGGACTGTAAGGTGGATAGGAAACTGGCTGGATTGTTGGGCTCAGAGGGTAGTAATCAATAGTTTGTCTAGTTGGCAGATGGTATCAAGTGGAGTGTCCCAAGGGTGAGTCCTGGAGCTGGCTTCATTTAATATCTTCATCAAGGAGCTGGAAGATGGATGTGCCCTCAACAAGTTTGCAGATGATGCCAAGATGGAGGGAGCTCTACTCTCCACCACGCTGGAAGGTAGAGGTAGGATTTGGGGAGACCTTGATAAATTGGAGGATTGAACCAAAAGAAATCCTATGGGGTCCAATAAGGAGAAGTGCAGGACAGAACAATCCTATGCTCTAGTATAGGCTGGAGACTGAGTAGCTAGGTAGCAGCTCTGCAGAAAAGAATTTATTTGGATGAAAACTATTAAGCTACTGATCTTCAAACAACCCCAAAACATTTCTAGAGAAAATGAGATGAAGCCTATTTATTCAGATATTTATCCCTTCAGGCATTTAACATTTGTTTATAGTGGTTCCTCTCAGTGAAAAATAACTTTGGCTAAAAGGAGCTTTACACTCCAATAAACTATGTTATGAAAGCAATTTTTAAAGGGTTTCTATAATGTTACACATTTGCAGGACTTTAATGACACTTCACAAGGTGACTAAATGAAAGCACAAGCTTTACAAAATTAAATCTTCAGAGATTCTTAGAGATGTTAGAAATGGGTCGCCAACTGGCTGGAGGGCTGCACGCAGAGGG